AGCTGGGTGAGGTGTTGTTTTGTTTCGATGTCTTTGAGAGTTTATGAGGTTGTGGGTTGGTGGGGGGTGATAGTATTAGAAGGTCTATCTCCCGGGTGTAACAACAATATGACACGGCATGCATGTCTTTGGTCTATCATTTTTGAACCACTCGCATTCCGACAGGGCGTCTTACAAAACTCCCTTGGTACTCACTACATCGCCCGCGCCGACCTCGCCTGCAACCCGTCTCGTGCACGCCGCCCGGATCGCCACGGCCAGCGCCTTGAACGCACTCTCCGCCCGGTGGTGGTCGTTGTCGCCATAGGTGCACCCCACGTGCAGCGTCACGCCGGCCGCCTGGGCGAAACTCTGCAGACCGTGGGTGATCATCTCCGTGCTCAGGTCCCCGATCTTCTCCCGCCGGAATCCCAGGTTGATGACGGCCCACGGCCGGCTGGACAGGTCGATCACGGCCCACGACAGCGCCTCGTCCAGCGGAGCGTCCCCGCGGCCGAACCGGGCCAGAGACTGTCGCGCGCCCAGAGCCTCGGTGAATGCCGATCCCACGGCGAGGAACGTGTCTTCGGTGGTGTGGTGGTCGTCGACTGTTATCGCACAGAAAAAAAGACAGTCAGTTCATCACCTCTTTTTTCTAAGAACAAGAAAACAACGCAGGCCCCCGCTTCGAGGAATCGGTGAGAAACGTACTGTATAGATCCCCCTTGGCGCGGACCGCCAAACTCCAGCCCGAGTGCTTCGCCAGCGCGTGCAGCATGTGATCCAGGAACCCAATGCCCGTGCTCACGGTGATCTGCTGCGTCGGGGTGAACTGGGTGGCGTGCGCGGCATCCTTGGGCGGGACAATGCCTTTCTTCGCGGCTTCGGCCTCCTCGGGGTCGGTCGGGGCGGGGAAGTGTTGGCTGGGTTTGTAGGGGGGCAGGATGCCGCCGTCCAGGGAGAGCGAGACCTGGATCTTGGTCTCGTTGGTGTTGCGGGAGATGGATGCGGTGCGGGCGGGGAGAGACATTGTGAAGTGATGGGGTTCGACCACAGCCGTATGAATCTTTTCCTATTGCTTTTTTGGGGGCTGAAGATGAAATGCTTCGTGGGCGACGGATGCGATTGTCAATTGGTAGGTTGGCTGGGCTCAATCCTGGATTCAACCTGGAGGCAGTGGGCAGTGGATTCTGTCCGGTGCGGTGCGGTGGAGTGGATTGAAATCGAGGGGCGGTGATTCGATTAGGTACCTACTCACTACTCACTAGGCACTCACTCACTTCGCGGGGCGGAACAAATCCCGCCCGCATTCCAGTCGGAAGTTCAGTATTTCCGCGGCGGGATATGCTTGCCTTTCCCCTCTCCCCGGGATTCACTGCGTCATATGATGGCCCTTCAATTTCTTTTTGTCCTGCATGAACCGAGTTCAAGTTGTCGCATTCACACCTCGTGCTGTCTCCCTTTTATAGTAACTGATTGAACCTACTGGATCTACTTTCTGCATTGATAGCTTTTATCTTCGCTGGATCAGCATACTCCCGATACACTCCCGCCAATATGCCACCCCCCTCCTGGCAGAGGCATGAAGTTGAACCGCCCGAGCACATCACCTCCGAGGCCGTTCGGGGGTTTCTTACGGGTGCATTCCGAGTATGGTTGATATCTTCCCCGGGCTGCTCCTCCAAGCTGTTGACCCCGATCATAGTTCGGCTCCGTCTCAATCATCGCACACATGATCATGATTCTCCCACATCCCTTCAAATTCTCCCCCGCATCGTCCGCTCCAGTCCCCTCGCAACCTCCCAACTCCCCGCGCCCGAAACAGTCGCCATTCTCCAAAGAGTACATCCGTTCTCGACTGTTCCATCGTCCGCTGGAGGGCTTCTCTGACTGGCTGTCTCCGGCCTCTCGCGTCTATCGCGGACTGACGCCGCAATTCAAAGTCTTCCTGCAAATCGGAGCCATGACGCTCGGTGGATATATCTGGGCCGAGAAACGGGTGGATGAGTACATCAAGTTCGTGCGCAAGGTGAAACGGGCGGAGAAGCTTCAGGCCGAGAGAGCTGCCAAGGGTCTCGACTAGGTTGGTATGTCCTCGTCAACTATACCCGGGGCGAGGCGGACTGCGCCGGATCCATTTGCAGCGACCAGCGACCGCGACCGCGACAGTAGCCAGAACGAAGATAGAATCGACCACCTAGACTGACTTTCCCACCTACAGCATAGCCACTCTTCGGCAATCTCCATCCATGCTCCACTATATCGCAACTTCCGTGTTTGAAGGGTTCTCGCGAAACGCACTTCCCCCCAACCTGGAACACGCTACCAAAGCCAGCGCCGGGATCGCTCAGCCACCAAGGGTCCAGCCGATGGCGAACTAGAGCAACCACGGAGATGGATGGGTAAGCCAGCAAACGACCACCCACCAGGGACTGACTGACAAACCGCCGAGACCAAAAGGCTGACCGGTCTGACCTGCCATTGTGGAGAGCCGGGAGGATCATCGGGTACGCGAGCCGGCCTGTGGTATACATTGTACGGAGCAGATCGTGAGTTAAAATGAGAGGAGCCCGATTCAGGGGTAAATACGATCCATTGGAACGGGCGTTCGCTGGAAAAGGGTTCTTGGCCTCCCTGCACCATCATCTTTGCTTTTTCTTTTTCTTTTTCTCGTGCCCCCTTAGCCAAGCCTCAGTGCCGAACAAGAACAGAGGGGGGGAAAGGACTAAACGAGGCGGTGAAAATACAAGACACATGTCAAACAGTCCTCAACATCAAAAATAAAATCCCAACCGACCTGGCTAGAACATCGTTGATCTCTTGTCCTCGCGCGGCCATGTCATGCCAGAATAGCTACGATCCAGACCGTGGGCACCAGCTCCGACCCTAAACCGGCGTAGTCCAGTCGACTAGTTCGATTTAGTCTACCGAGTAAGAGATGATGCAGGCCACTGGGGCCAAGTGGAGCTTCTTCTGTTCTAGCTCGACAGGCGTCCGGCGTCGCGCCAATGACGCGGCTGGAGATCGGCTTCTCGAACGCGTTTCATACTTTGCAGTTTGCACTGAGTCCACCGTTGATCGCCTGGAGGGGGGGGGCGCTTCTGAAGTATCTGGGGTGCTGAGTGGGACTTAGAGGAGGGGGGGGAAGAGGGAAAAGAAAAAATAAAAGAGGAAGACGAAGAGAGGGAGAGAGCTACGATTGAGCATGTACGAGGATCTCTACGGTCGGGGAGAGTATCTGATTTGTATTCCCTTCATTAAGCGAGCGGCGAAAGTGACTACTCGGTGGAAATTTCGGCTGGAAGAAGGCAACCCGAGATGAGCACGGAGCCAGTTAGGCTAGTGAGGCGGTCCGAATTGCTATCTATTGTTGGTCTAGCTGGTCAGGTATTGTGGAAGTGCTGCCCTGACAATTGTTCAGTGACATTGAACCATTGAACAATATGAACAATAGAGGACACCTGAATAAGTACAGAGTACAATACACAAAGTCATAGGTAGAGACCGGGGGAGGGAACCTTTTCCGTCCCCGAGTCAGGCCGTTTTGGTTCTCCCTCACATATCCTCTCCTCGTTGTCCCCATCCTCGTTGTTACAATATTACTACCCCCCTAATTTCCCCTCACTTAGACTGATACAATATGACTTCAATTCCACCCAACAATTGGATTTGAGTTTACTTCTCTCGTCACATTTACATGGTGGATGCTGTTCGCAGGGGGTTGGCAGGGTTTGTTGGACGATCGTTTGCGGGAAAGACACTCGTCACTGACATCATTTTGCCTGGATCCGGATCCAATAATTGATAATCTCCGGATTGTCCCTGTCAGGAACACTGGCACTGGAACTGGAACGCTAATGCTAATTTTCCAGTGGTAAACAATTGCACAATTGCACAATCGCTTTGAAGCTGTACCTGAGTACCTGAGTACCTGAGTACCTGACCTGCTGTTTGCATCGCTTGCTTGCCTCATCCGGGCGCCTTCAATTGTCATTGCCATTGGCATTGTCACCGTTGCTCGTGGCCCTCCCGTGGCAGCTCCATCCTCCTCCCAGGGACTTGCCACCCAGACCAGACACTAGTTAGCAAAACTCTTATTACACAGATTGGTGAGCTCTTCTTCTTCTTCTTCTTCTTCTTTTTCTTCTGCTTGTGTCTCGCTCTCTCTTTCTCTCTTCCCCCTCGTGGGATTGACAAGCACCTTCCGCGTCCGACCATCTGAGATTTGACAGGTTGTGTGAATGTACGGATTACTGTATGAGAAATCATCACGGTGACGACGACCTCATCTCCCGGCTGGATCTACACGTCTATCAAGTTATACTCTAAGTAGATCGCCGTCCACTCCGATCTTCCCATTCCCCTCTTTCCCCCCCCCAATCCAATCCCCATTTAAACCAACTGACGGTCTCCGTACTTCTATCCACGGGTCTGGGGGTTTGCTTTGCTGGTCCTTGTTTTGACCTCCTCCACACATTCTCTTCTTCTGCTATCTGTTTCTATATCATTCCGTTTGCACACAATCTGATTTCCTTGCTTCAAGTCGAGTTGTCTTCTGCAATTGCTGTCATTACGTTTGTTGCGAAGGTCAACATTCGATTTCCTCTCTTTCTCTTCCCCCCTTCGTCTTTGACTCCATCTGGTATCGAGTCTTACCGTGGACTACCTCCGTTCAACCTACCGATTTCGCAATTCCAACTGCCTTGATGGCTGCTGTATGTTCCACCTTTTTATTTTTATTTTTATTTTTATTTTTTTTTAAATTTTTTTCTATTATTTTCTCCTTCCCTTCCCTTCCCTCTCTCCTCCTGCCTTGTTCCCCCTCCTTCCCCCCCTGCCCGTGGCTCCTCATTTGGTGCATCCGCGCCCTGCTCCACCTCTCTAAGTCACTAGTCAACCGCTGGGGTTTCAATCACTCCTGCCTATGTCTTGCTCCAATCTCCTCTGCCCCAAGCCCATACTACCTAATGTTCTACTCCTCTTCCCTCTTTCTCTCTCTCCACTCTCCTTCCTTTCCACCCCCCCTCAAAATTTCCCTCTTATCGCCATCGGCCATGATTCATGCTAACAGTCGCCTTCCTTTCGCTTTTGGCACCTCTCTAGTGAGACCCCATTTTCGGCTTCTCAATGTGATATCCTTTCTTTAAAAAAAATCAATCTTACCACCACCACCACCACCACCACCACCACCATCGTACCACTGCTGCCGCTTACTGCCCGTGATTGCTGCAGCTAGCTAGCTAGCTAGCTTCCTCCATCCCTCCCTCCTTTCGCATTTCGAGCGCTGCTTCCCACCTTCTCGTCACCCCTTTTCTCCGCCCTCATCCTTCCCCTAAATCCCCGTCATGGCCGACCTTCTGGGGAAGAAAGAGCGGAGAAAAAGCCTGAGCGTCTTTAGCCCATCCTTCACAACCTCTTCCCTGTCCGACCCAGCAGTGCACCAGCGATCGCCCTCAGATGATGCTCAAGCCTCGAAAAAGAAATCACGCCGCAACTCTGGCTTCTTTGGGGTCCGGAACCCCAGTCCGCCAAGAGCCGGCACCAGCTACACCCTGCGTCGTCCCGGCACCGCCGATTCGGAATCGACAACATGCATGATGCCCCCGCCAGCCCTCGAGGGCCCGCGCTCTCGACGCAAGTCGATGCAGAAGAGACGGGCCTCGGTTTTCGGCTCGCTGCGGTCCCTTCATTCGTTGGAAGATGACGACCGATCCCTTGGCCGCTCCAAAGCCAGCTCCCTGGACGAAGACAACCCTGACATCCGACAAGGTATTGGCTCCATTATCTTGCACCATGGCGATGTCCAGATCACAGGCGGCATGTGGCGAAAGAAGAGTCACTACTTGGTCCTGACCGATACTCACCTGGTCCGGTTCAAGAACCAGAGCAAAGCGGCCGACATGTTTCCATCTATCCCGTCATCTTATTCCCGGTCTCTGGCAAGCAACCGTCAGTCCGTCGTCTCCATCAGCTCGATGCAGGACCCACAGCTGGGGGTGCCTGGCGATAACTCTTCCGGAATTGCCTTGAACAGTATTATTGCAGTTTACATGTTGGACGATGGTCGGCCGTCCTCCACAGTGGAGGTTGCTTATGTCGATGAGCGAGCACAGAAAGCTACCTTTATCCAGATGCAGACACCTGATTTCCAGGAACTCAACCTATGGATGGTGGGCATTCGCTCCGCGGCGGAGCTGATCCGAGGAGCAGACCCCTTACCATTTGACCGAAAGACGGTGGACTGTGTGGTGCGAATGCTGGACTACGAACGGGACTACGACCCCGAGACGTTTCGCATGTTCCGAGTCATCCAGATGGCATCCAGCAAATCTCCGACGCGGGCCTCGTCGGAGGATCTCACCAAACTCTCACCAACCGGCTGTTACCTTGCTCTGGGTTCTCACAAGCTCCACCTGATTCCCCTACACAAAATCTCCAGTCGCAGCTCTGTGGTATCGTTGAGCGACTTAGATGCTGCAACGTCCTTTGGACTCATGAATTTGACCTGCCTGTCGATGGAGTGGGGGGACGATAGCTTACATCTGACATTTCGATTACCCCTTCGCAAACCATTCTCCGTGTTCCTTGCATCCGTTCATTCTTTGGAGGTTGCCTTCTGGATCAGACAGCAGACGGAATTCTTGCGACCTTTATGGCTCAAGCAGCCGTATGACTTCATCGTTCCCCGAGACCTCGACAATGAGAACAACTTTCCCCCGGTAGACCTTGACGAAGATTTCGGTTGCTTCGACCGAACCTTGGTCGCTTATTCTGCCAGCTACGACATCGATACGTCTAACATCCGATACACGATTGACATGCAATGTGACGATGCTCCCTGTTTCAAGCTGTTGCCTCCTTCAGCACGGCGGAAGTATACGGCTCTGGAATTGATCGCCGTTCTGCGGGCCTTGCGCTACAACGAGTCCTTCCGTGCGATTTCATTCAGCGGAGTGAGCTTGGACGCCCTCCAGGGGCTGCGCGACACGCATGGCACAGACAAGGATGCTCTTCTGAGTCGTGCTGGTGCAACAATTAACATCCCCGGGCAAGAGAACCTATCTGTTCTATCTCAAGAAGTTCGGGCGTTAACACTGAAGAGCAAATGGCTCCGACGTCTTGACTTTTCCTATACACTGAGCCGCGTCCCTAAGTCTGATAGTGAAAGCCATGACCCCGGCTGTGGTATTCCAGAGGCGATCTTCCCGATCTGTCGCCGAGAGCTGACGAGCGTGGACTGGGTTGTTCTCAACGGCATTAAACTGGGAGACTCCGACTTGGACTATCTTGTCGATGCGGCCTCGCAGCGAGGAAGCCATATGCGGGCACTCGAAGTGGGCAATTGTGGCCTATCTGTGCACGATCTGGACTTGTTACTGTCAACCGTCGTAGCTCAATCGCACACATTGGAGGCGATCAACATTTCCGGCGTACAGGGCCGCCTGACCCCGGATATCCTTCCGCAGTATCTTGGCTACTTCAGCCACATCAAGACCCTGGACTTGTCGCGAATCTCGCGCACATCTGGCCCGGAGCCGCTCCTCACGCCTGAGACGTTGATCAACTGGCGCCTTGAGGAACTTTCACTGAGCCGGACAGCCGTCAACCGGCAGACCGTTGACGCCATTGCCACGTATTTGGCTAGCGATCGCTCCCAAGGCTTGCGCGTTCTCAAATTCGACCAGTGCGGTCTCAGTGGTCAGGACGTGGCGATCTTCCTGCATTCTATGGCGATGCTTGAGTCTCGCAACCTGCATCTGCATGTGAACGAGAACCGACTTGATCAGGGTTGCTCGTACCTATTCGACGCCATAGCACAGAACAAGACTCCGACACACATGTCTATGCGGATGATTGATTTCAAGAAGGAGGAGCAGTTTCAAGAATTAGTCGAGGCTCTACGGGTGAATCGTTCTCTGAAATACCTGGATATCTCGAAAGCGTCCCTGCCCTACGATGCCGGGCCGGAGACTTGCAAGGCACTGCAGCTGATGTTCGAGGAAAACGAGACGCTCGAAGATCTGGACATCAGTGGAGAGAGCGCGCACTTGGATGTCGCCCGGTTCGGGATCGGTCTCAACCTAGCCCTCACTGGCTTGAAGAAGAACAAGTCTCTGCAAGTCTTGAGGATAGAACATCAGAAGCTTGGTTTGCAGGGAGCAAACACCCTGGCATCTGTGCTGGAAGCCAATGATTGTCTGCGTGAGGTCTACTGTGAGAATAACGACATCAATCTTCAGTCGTTCACGGTCCTGGTGAATGGTCTGCAGCGGAATCGATCCTTACTGAGTCTTTCCTGCATGGACCGAGACCGGGTCCAGTCTCTTGAACGGGTGCGGCGCGAAGTTGAGAGTGTTAAGCGGGACGTCAGCCTGGCTCAGAGCTCTACGACCAGCTCTATTCGTCGCTCGATCCAAGCTGCCATAACCAACAAGAACTCGAATAGCAGCAAACTGTCCAAACAGCAGCCATCATCTCTTCACCGGTCGGGTGCCTCATCATCTAACCTGCTCTCCCCTGCGGATGCTTCTTTGATGCAACAGGATGTCGAAGTCATTTTGCAATCATTGAACCAAAAGTGGGATGCAGAGGTCGCGCGCCTGCGCCGATACCTGTTTCGGAACTACAACCTGGCGCATGGCTTGGAGGATGGTAGCGCCGAGCTCGACGATGACAATTCCAGCGAAGGGCGACCGGCTACTGCAACGACGCTGGGACTGATGCTCGATAACCTGAAACTGGACGTAACGGTATTGACCGATGAAATCCAACCACCGCCGCAGCCCGATGATGGCAGTACCAGTCCGAAGACTCATCTGGAAATGTTCAACAGCCTTGACGCCGAGAGTAGCTTGGTCGCTGAGCTTCGTGAACGCCCGCAAACAGCGCCCTTCTCGTTAGCAGATTATGGAAGCCAGTCATTCCTGCCTTTAGAATATACGGGCTCCAATGGCCATAACCCTCGTTTGGCAGTGCCAGTTCCAGCCATACCTCCTGTGGTGAACAAGACCAGCAGCGTTCGCAGTGCCCGCAGCTCCAGCACTGTTTCTACGGGTACCGGCACAAGTACGCGAAGCACCTACGGATCGGCATCCTCCACCTTGAGGGGCTTCTTGAGCAGTGGTGCATCCAAAGAACGCAAAAGAATGGAGAAAATGAGGTCGGGTGCAGTGTGTGTATCAAATGATAGGCCACCAAGACTGGACTGGGCACCCCCTCATCTTGAATTGGATAATTTCCGATAAGCCGGCCATTCTCGTCCCAAGGACATGATTAATGAGTCTAACAACGAGACAACCATATCGAGCTGTTTTCGCTAGTCGAAGAAGCACACGATTTTCCTGCCATTGTTGCGTGATACCTCCCCCACTACTCTCAATTTGCTTTTGTTCTCAATCAGTGTACAAGGCACGCCTGTGCTTTTGTTCCTTTCTACGTGGCTTCTCCCACAGTCGAGCATTCCACTCCTTTTCGACACTCATCCCTGACCTGGTTTTGGATCTTCTGGACTTTATGCCAGTTGGTCATCAGTGTCTGGTCCTGTCCAATATCATCCATACCTTTTCCGTTCCTTTTCTCTTCTCACGACACTGATCCTGACTTTTCTGCTCCGGCCAGCCTCAGGAAAGGCAGATGGCGGAGAGAAGAGTAGGACGACTTCGACCTTTTTCTTTTCAATTTTTTTTTTTTTTTTGCATCATCCTGCGTGGTTGGCGCATCGGCTAGGCGGCGTTCAAATCAACAATTCCATCGAGAGATGTTCGAGTATCTTTGGGTTTCCAGTGAGGCGCATTCCAAGTCTGTCGGATACATTTTGTCTCTTTCTCTTTGCGACCCCATGATGCCCATAATTGTTAATGTCAATAGAATATATCTTTCGTCCACCCTTGCAAGCGGAACAAACGCGAGATAGGGTGGGCTGAACAAAAAGAATGATGATACCCACGGTGAATGAGTGGGACTGTAACTAGTTAGCTTCGTTGACTCTTGCGAGTCTTCAGAAATCAGAAGCCAAATGAAATGATTCTCAGCGGCTGTATATTGTTGCATTCAGTATGATGACCAGTAGTCGACTGTATGCTAATATATATGCATGTGTAGACAGAGGACAGTATTCGAAGTTCCTGCATTCTCAATGCGAGATCTACCTGTTATGCTTGTCGGATGAGATCACGGTGACTGGCGCCATAAAAGCCCTAGGGTAGATCTATCTGTTGTAGCGAGTCAATTGATTCGACTGGCGCAA